GATCCGGGGGGAAGTGACTTGAGCCAGTCTTTAGCAGCACCCTTGAAGGTTACCAGAAGCATACGAAGTAGTTGAGTTTCGCGAGTTACATTGGATATTGAAGTAATCAGCAACATCATTTACTTCATCCAAATGTTTGTAGGCATCTTCATGATCTTTCCCATAGAAAGGTATTTCCTTGAGTGAAGCTAGGATATGACCTTTTAGCTCGAAGGTAGCAGTCGCGGAATTACGGGTTGCACAAGTCCCGGGCCATGGTCGTCGCGCATCCTCTTCTTCCATTCTCCCATGGGGATTTCATCAATGTTAGCCATAGTGAACTAACTCTTCCTCCGACTCGGTTTCTTGCTCGTACGTTGTCTCCTCTTCTTCCTCGGTCTCGTATCCAATATCTTCTTAAATTGGCTCCTCAATTATCAAAGAAGCGCTAGAAGCTCCTGATTTACTGCTCTTCTTTTTCCCAAACACAGTCTTCAAGTTGGACAATGGTGATTTCTTTGGTGTGCTTGAACTCTCCACGTCCTTCCTTTTTTTTCTTTTCAATGCGGATTCGGGGTCTTCAAACGGGTACCAGTGGGGTGTGTTTGCTCCTCTGGTCATGAAAAGTCCTGAAATCAATTAAATAAAAGCGTAAAAATAACAAAAAGATTGTAAAATAAAGAAAATCTACTGCGAGTAAACTGCTACTCGCCGAGTAGGTGCGATTGCACTAAGCGAGTATCAGTGTATTTCAAAAAAAATTTCTAAGTTTTAAACTAACTAAAACAGATACTAAAACCTAATTACTAATTACTAAATTGCAATAAATGAACTTTATGCAAGTAAACTCACACAAAGGATCGAAAAAATTAGGAATTAGCTTAATTATTTAGAACCGTTCCCGGCAACGGCGCCAAAAACTTGATGTGTGTAAAACCAACTAGTTTTATCCCTACTTTTTATTAATAATTTGAGCACACAAAGGCAGTGAACCTGTCTTTAAGTGGTATAGATTGATAATAAGGTATCGAACTCAGGGAACGGAAAATTAAACTAATAACTAATTTTAACTAAAACAATAATAAAAGTAAAGGGTTTTTCTCTAGTTTTGCAAGACTAGAAACTTAGACAAACTAAATTAACTAATTAACTAAAGCAACAACTATTCACCAAATTTGATAAAGATGTTTCTATTTAGGTTCAACCAATTCACTCCTATGGTTATTTAAGTTTAAGATAGATTAATTGCTATTGGTTACCAATTATAATAGTTAGGTTCATATTCATTACTCCTAACCCTTAGACAATTAACTAATTTAAGCGTTGATCAAGTGTTTAAACTAATTAATTCCCTAGATTAATTATTTGGATTAAATAAGATTTGTAATGGTCAATTAAGTTATTAATTCAATTAACCTCTTGTTGATGGTTTCTCAAACAAGCTCACACATTAATCTTCCTATTTTCTTATTAATCTTAGTTTCATAATCATTACTTCTAAGCATATGGTTTAGCATTCACATAGACATATGAGGTTAACAATTAAGTGATGTTCATGCAACCTAATTGCCTTCCAATTAACAGAAAATAGTAGTGATTAATACATAAGGTTCTTTAACAAACTTAATTTAATAAATCACCAAAAGACAATTAATCAATAATCAATAATCAAACCATAGGAGTTCTTTGGTATTCCCCAAACAGAAACAAAAACGAATTTAGCTCATAATTGCAGTAGAAACACACATAAAAACAAAGTTTACTAAAGCAAACATGTTCAATTCCTAAGTCTAAGTGGTAGAATTAACCTAATTGCTTGAATTCTTCCAAATAGTGAAGCCTAGGGTTCCTTAGCGCCTTCTGAATCTCTTAGTCGCAGCTAAACCTTCAAAAATCGCCAGGAGTCCCTTCCCATGAGATAAGGATTCGTGTTTTATAGATATCCCAAAACAGGGTGTACTCGGCAAGTAGCAGAATCAACTCGCCGAGTAGATCCATACTTATCCGTCTTGAATCAGCAGTCGTATTTATCTTCTGGAATATCCTCGTGTACTCGCCGAGTAGGGTCGATCTACTCGCCGAGTGTATCACCTTCTTTCACTCTTCAATCTTTAATTGCTTTCGTTTTCTCCTTTTTGCTTCCAAGCATATCTTTTGGACTGAAAACACAATTCACAACATTTTAAGTACCTTTTGTCCACATTATTCACATAATTAATCAAAAATAACTAAGAATATATGCTAAATAATTAACTAATTATGCACATATCAGTGAATATACTATTTAATATTCATAACTGAATATATCATCTAATATTCACAAGTGAATATAGTATGTAATATTCACATGTGATATACCATGTAATACTATGTAATATTCACATATTAAATATTATTTAATACTCATAAGTGAATATATCATCTAATATTCACAAGTGAATATACTATGTTAATATTCACAAGTGAATGCATCGTCCAATATTAAAATATGAATATATTATGTTTATTATATGATATATTCATATATGAATGATACTTCAATTGTAAAAAAAAAAATCATACTTTTTATTCATAAGTGAAAAACGAATGTACTGTAATAAAATCTGATACATTTTTATTCACTTATGAATAACGATAGCTGAGAATATAAAAAAAAAAATTATTTTATCTTAAAACTATATCAATATGGATGTCTATTTGTAGAGAATAAAAAACATGAATGTTTGTATATTTAAAATTATTTTTTAATAAAAAAGCTTGTAAAATTTAAAAACAAAAACGAAAGAAACTATGTTTTGTATATATTAAGGTAATGAATAGTATAGTTTAAGGAAATATGTTTTGTTAGAAAACACATGTGCATTCCTTTTCCATTTCCGCCGGTACGTTGGAGACTTTTGCGGTAAAATCACTACAAGAAAAAGACCCTTTAACGACGCGCAAACCACGACACTCATTGATTTATGTTACGCAAAAGAGAGTGACATTAAAAAAATGTCATCTCTTTAAAAAATTTAAGGATTTAGATCACGCATTATTGGGTGCCCTTAAATTAGTGTCTAATGTAAAAAAAAAATTAAAAACACGGAGGGCACTTTATATAAAAATGCACGCCCTCTATAAGTGTCGCTTTATAATTTTAAAGAAAAGCGTGTTTAGTAGATACGGGGGAAACGAAATCCCAAAATTTTGAAAACCCGCTTTTCTACCTTCTTTCTTCTTTCATCTCCGGCTCTCCGCAATCGATTCTCCCCTCTCCCTCCTTCTCCATCTTCTCCGATCCGCTTCACCATCTTCAGTAAGTCAACCATGGAGAACTACCAAAAAATTGAAAACCCCCGCCTGATACTCTCCTTTTCTTGTATGTTGTGAAATTCTCTTCGATCAAAAGAAACCCTAAAAGCATTGTGTGGATTCTGATATGCGATTTTTAGTTGTGAGGTTCCTGAAATCATATTTTTGACCTCAATCGATATTTTCATATTTTTGAAATTCTTAAAATCCTCTTCGATTAAACGAATCCCTAAAACCCCGCCTCATACCCACCTCCAACCCACACCGAATCTTTAGGCATCGCACGCCGACGATGTACATGCCTTATCGACCAACACTTCATCCACCATTACCATTTGTAGCTCTCTCACCCCATCTTCACTGTTAAACCTTGCGAAATCCTTATATAACATTCCGACGAAATCAGATTCCGGCGCTCTATGACTGTCGACGGGAGCAAAAACCTAATTTCAAGTCAATGGCCTGTGTGTATATTCTGGTACAGAACTCGGAGGAGGAGGTACGAGTGGCTTTGGACCAACTTCTTAGAGAAGGCAACTGATATCCTTGACATCTTAAGGCCGAACAAGTGCCTCTCGATCTCATTTCACCATTTATAGTTCCATTACAGAGTTTATAACTATGAACATGTTCTGAACAACAAGCGCCTCTCGTCATGCTTTTTCAATTGCAGATTCTGATTTTAGGTCATCTCCTCTCCTCGCCTCTTCTTTGTTTCTTTTCTATTCTACTTCTACATATATACTTCTTGTACAGAGGATTAACATTATTCCATTCTTAAATATTTATAAAATCGGTATTATTTGAAGTTCAGTGTTTATAGTTTAGTTAGATGCGAAAATCTGGTGCTCCTTCTTTAGTCTATTTATTTGTAAAGGGGATTTTTCTGATTTGGGAACCAAAACATACGAGACTGATGAATGGTTCAAACCTAAGCATCATTGATGAAAATTTTCTTTATATGACACTTCTATTTTATTTCTTTTGCCAAATTGGCAATCTTGATATTGATCTTCCAATCTAAGGGGAGAATTTGAATAGAGATCTATAATTAGGGCTTAGAATTGAGAAATGTTTAATTGCCTCGGTATGAAATTTCATAGATTAGAAGTTTTGTTTCGTATATAATTGTGTAGCAGCATATGAATTCTTAGAAATTGGGAAGAACAGCGTCCTGATTATAAATGCATTTTTCAAAATTTTGAATTGGGGAAAATTTTGATGATTACGTTTACACTCTTCTCTCAACCATATCCTTGAGCAGATTTGGAACATTCAATTTCTTCATAACACTAAACCTATTCTTCTATCAAACTTAATGATTATATGAATTCTTCAATTTGTTTTCACATCCACTGATCCAAATCTTCTTCAAATTCAACAGATCATGCCTGGGCAGAAGATTGAAACAGGTCATACATACATAATCCATGATGTTTGTATGGATTACTATGGAAAACGAGTAGCATCCACCTCCTCTGATGCCACAATCAAGATAATCAGTGTCACCACCACCATCAGCACCGCCACCTCACACCTCCTTACCACATTGACATGTCACAATGGTCCAGTCTGGCAGGTTGCATGGGCCTACCCTAAATTCGGGTCCCTTCTTGCATCACATTCTGATGGGATTCTTCTGCAGCACATTCTGCTGGGGGATTCTACAACCAAAGTACCTTCTTTTCTCAACTATATAAATTATTTTATGGGTTTGTCTAATTTAGTTTTTTTTTAATGTTTGATCAGATTATGAATTGAGAGGTTACAAAATTAGTGTGGGAATGGCTGAGAAATCTGCTCCAAGGGCTCCTCCTGCTCATTAGCACAAGTCAAAATTTGATATCACTGGGTCAATTTTGTATGTTATTTCCTAGTCTATACCTGATAGAACAATTCCATATAAAATATTAAATTTCTTAAAAAAGAAGTAAGTAGCATTTGAAAATTCCATATAAAATATTAAATTTCTTAAAAACTAAGTTAAGTTGTAGCATACCAAAAACAATCTATAAATTGCAGGAAGTATACACAGTTAGTGTGAATAATATGTTATTTTTGCTACTTTAGTAAGTGATACTATATTTGTATTTTTTACTACTTCAGGGGATTGAGAAATTTGAGACAGATCTTAAGACCATGCACCCTAGTTTGACTGAATGCCGTGTTTTGAAGTCAAAATTGGAGCTTTCTGTGATCCAATATGCCATTGGTATAAGTTCTGAAGCTCACACTAAGGTATATATCATTATCATTCCACTATGTAATGACTAAACTGAAATTAGCTCATTACTAAATAATCTTCAATTTCTCAGTGCATATTATAACATTATAAGTTGCTTGTATATGGTGATTTCATCTTTTGGTGATATTAAGTAACTACTTTTGGAGTAGGTAATGAGGAAAATGAAACCAGAAATGAAGAGTATTAGATGGAAAAGCATATTTCTTCACCACACCAAAACTCTTTTGGGTTATCATCCAGAAGAACTTCATAATTTTTCAACCCAACACCAAAAGTCGTTTTTTTTTGTTTTTTTTTTTTTTTTTTTTTTTTTATCGTTGCTGTCCATTTCATATGTGCTACTGCTCCAAAAGTCTTGTGCCAGATTGGGTTTATTTTTATTTATGGTTTTATCTTTTTTCAGATTTCCATGTGGCTGTTTTTTTTATCATGGAATAGAGATATAAGTTTACCCTTCCACTTTGCCATTTGCCATTGGTGTGGAAAATCATCATCATCATAGACGTGGTGTAAGGAAATCGGCTTCTAGGGAGGGTAGTAGTAGTAGTAATGACAACAATTTACTATATTGCCCTGATGCTATTGACTTAGAAGACAAAGATTTTGAACATTTTCAAATGCATTGGAGAAGAGGCTAACCAGTTGTGGTTAAAAATGTCCTAAAAAAGACATGTGGACTTAGCTGGGAACCAATGGTGATGATGCGAGCTTTTGGAATGCTAAAAAAAGGTTAAATGAGGAAAATCAATGTGTCAAAGCTATCGACTGTTTGGACTGGAATGAGGTAAGTTTTATATCCCTATCTTTTAAGTTTTAACAATTCATTTTTTATTTATTTGCATAAAAAACTTGTGTTTTTTTAAATCTTCTATTTATTTTCATAAATATAAAACTCTAGACTTTATGCATCATCACGACTCAGTTTCTTTTCATCTATTATTTGTAGGGAAATGTTTTGGAACATATACTAATGTTAGGTGTTGAAAGTCAATGGGCACCTGTTGTCGTACATTGTGCGGTGAGATAACTTATTCCATGTGCTTTTGATTCATACGTTTTATACTTAAGAAAAAAATAATAAAAAGATATGAAAGTAGGTTTCTATTTGAGATACATACATAGGTGATCTGATTTTTGGACACCAAAAGAATCTTGAATGCATAGGTGATCTAAAAGCTCCACAACAGACAAGAGATGACAAGTTTCTAACCTTCGTGCATAACTTGGGGTGATAAATGGTAGGTTTTTATTAAAAATTTGAACTTTTTTAGATTTTTTTTAATGTTGTCTATTTTCTCTCATATTATGTTTGTTTGAATTAGAACTTAAAAGAAGAGATCTCAGAGGCCATTGATCAGCTAAGGGAAGTTGAATATGAAGTCATTATCACATGTTGTAAAAAATTCGTTTATTTTATTCTTCACCCTTCTACAAGCCTTTTTAACATGTTGCAGGAACCTAAACCTAAGAAACAGTCCGCTCCTACAGCTAAAATTGGATCGAATAAAAAACCTGTTAGTAAACCTGTAAGTAGTTCAGATGAATCTGAATTTGAATCTAAATCATCGGATGATAGTGATTCATCAAATGAAGAAGTGAGTCAGAGTGTAAATCTCTTGGCACTTGGATACAGTTTGTCTAATTTCACATTAATTTTGTCACTTTTTAGCAGCATTCTCTACATGATACATGTTGTTCTCCACTTTTCTAAGTATTCTTCTATGTAATTTAGGAGGCGCCAAAAAAGCCAGCTGCTGTTGCCAAGAATGGTGCTGCTGCAGCCACCAAGAAAGCCAAGTGAAGTGATGCGTCTGATTTAGAAGACAGTTCAGATGAAGTAAGAGACCTTTTTGGTTTTGTGTACAATTTTTACCGAGTGAAGTGATGAGTCTGTCATAGTTACTTTAAATAAGGTAGTGTGTTTGGTATGCAGTAATCAAAGAGGGAATGGAATCAAGCATTACAGTGTAATCTGATTCCTGCAATTGTTGCTGCAATTGATGCTGATTTCTTATTGTAAGTGTTGTTGCACTCTTCTGTTGATTTCTAAAAGATACCAAAGGGTACAAATGTTTTTTTTCATGAATAAGAGCTATTTATGTTCTTCTTCTTCTTCTAGTTGTTGCACTCCTCCATTCTTCATTATGGGTACGCAGCAGCTCCAAATGACAGGGTATAATTAATTTTACTTCTTTTATTATATAGAAGTTTATTTAGTGAATTCTTTTGGTTTATCGTCTAGAAGAACTTCATACTTTTTCAACCCAAAACCAAAACTCGTTTTTTTTTTTTTTTATCATTGTTGTCCATTTCATATGTGCTACTGCTCCAAAAGTCTTGTGCCTGATTGGGTTTATTTTTATTTATGGTTTTATCTTTTTTCAGATTTCCAAGTGGCTGTTTTTTTTATCATGGAATAGAGATATAAGTTTACCCTTCCACTTTGCCATTTGCTATTGGTGTGGAAAAGGGGTTTGGTTTCAGGTGATAAATGTTCCTCTCTTTTGGACACCCACTCAAGCATGTGTTTCCTTTTTTTCTTTTTCATAGGTATATTTTCTCTTTTCAAATTAATGTTTGTTTATTTAATCTTTATTTTATTTTTATAATTTATGTAAAAGGCGGCAGCTTAGACGAAATGTATAATCATATATTACTTAAAGACCAAAATATTTACTATTATAATCAATAATCGATTATCTCGTTTCATGACATCACTTAAAGTTTTAGATAAAAGATAAAGATTCATTTTTTTTGTCAATTCATATAAGATTGTTTTATATATTTACTAATTTATATAGAGTATTTTTTTATTAATTTAAACACTTGACACAAATTACACATTTCAACCAATTAAACAAGTTGTAATTAAAGATGATGATAGTTTGTAGTATTAGGTATATATAAAATCACAATGCCCCATAATATACTCCACAAATTAATATTTTACCCCTTTACCAATATTGAAAGTATGTTGCTATTTTCAGCAATTTTCCCATAACATACTCAATATTGTACATGTATATTTGCATATATGCAGGTGGGTATATGAAGGAGTATCCTTTGGGAGTTGTACTTGAAGCCACCAAAAATACTTTGATTCAAGGCAGTACAAAACACTTATTGGTAGATCATTTTGATTCCACTCTCATACATACATACCATGTGCATTATTAATTAGTTGATATTGATATTGTACAACTAACATGATTGCAAGGTTGATGATGAAAGCGAATAGCTCTGGAGTTAGAAGAGGAAAAGAAAACTCAAGCTGAAAGAGATAAGATGTTGCAAATGCAAGTGTTGCATTCTTCATTCCAACTGTTAATATGAAACACGAAGTAGATTAGATGAATGCAAATTTATATATTGTAAGAAATAGAATTATATGACATTAAACTTTATGCAATGGATTGTATTTTTTGTATATGGTATTTTATTTCTATTATGAGACATTAAATACAAATTTAATTTGAAAATTAGTAAATCTATAAATAATGTTTTTTTAAACATTTAAAATTATGATACGCAAAAATGTGTGTCATCTTCATTTATGACATGGCCTTTCTTGACAGGAGCTTTCTTGATACGCATTGCGTGTCATTAACACGCGCGTCGTAAGGTTACGACACGCGAATGCGTGTCTTCTTTCTTTATGACATGGCCTTCCTTGATACGCATTGCGTGTCGTAAACGCGCGTCGTAATTGCGCGTCGTAAATGCGTGTCGTCTATAGACGACGCGCAAAAGCGTGTCATCTCTCTTTATGACAGGGCCTTCCATGACGCGCATTGACTCAGAATGATTCCCTATTCTCATCTCTTTTTTTTCTCAATTGAACCCTCCCATATATATACATACATACATATATATATATATATATATATATATATATTGATCAGCTTATAGATCGGCGACTCGGCGAGTCCATATTCGGGACTCGGCGAGTCGGCCTGCTAGGTAGAAACCCTAAATCCCCGGGTTTGCACCCTATTTAAACCACCTTATCAACCCCAAACTCGCCTCTTTCATCCTCAAAACGTTATCTAAGAAAACCCTAATCATCCCATTGAGTTTTTGAGCATTCTTGGTGTAATTCTTGAAGTTTTGAAGAGAAGAAGAAGGCTAAATCCAAAGAAGAAGAAGAAGATCCAAGTCCTTGCACCCATCTCAGAGTACTTTGAGGTAATGATCAGTTTCTTCCCGATTTGTTGATAGATTCCCCTTTATAAGCATATTTAGCCCATTCTTTAGCTTGTTTATAGTAGAGAAATCATATTGGATGGATTAGCTTTCGAATCTAGCCATGTTACAGTTCCAAAAACGTATATTTATCAACTTTATGGAGCCATTTTGCATGATAGCCCTAGATCTACACTTCCAAGTACCTTTCTAGCTTTTATACCCTTTTGTATGCTTTTGTACACGTAAAGTTGGGAACTTTACGTGGTAAACCAGCCTTAGGAGCTCAGATTTATATATTGTATGCAGTGGTTTTGAGCAGAATCGAGTTTTTAGAAGTTGCATGCTTGAGACTTGGCGAGTCGTTCTTCGGACTCGGCGAGTCGAGTCGCGAGTCCCCGATTCTTCCCCTTTGAGTGATTCCGAGTGGGGACCAGTGAGTAGTGTATGGACTCAGTGAGTTAGAGGTTAGACTCAGCAATGGAGGGACTCGACGAGTTGTTCATACAACTCGGCGAGTCCAAGGCAATCTTCTTATGATTCAAGAACAACTCGTCGAGTCGTTCATACGACTCGGCGAGTCGGATGCAGATAACCTGAGTGTTGATATAGCATGGGAACTCGTTGAGTGTATGCCATACTCGACGAGTAGCAGCGAGCAGGGTTGAGAAATAAGAGTAGGGACTCGGCGAGTTAGCGGCCCAACTCGGCGAGTCAGGTCAACTGTGAAGTTAACTTTGACCAGGAGAGTTGACTTTAGCCAGGGGTAAAAGAGTCATTTTACCCCAATACAGTTATTAGTATTTGATTGAGTGTATTTGTGGAATTGTAGCCGGGGAGATACCGAAGCAGCAGCAGATAGTTCCCGGAGCCACACACTCAGCAGCAAGATCACGAGGTGAGTTTCCTTTCAGTAGGAACGGGTCTAAGGCCACAATGCCGGCCCGTTTAACTAGTAGTAGTTTCCGGACTTCGTTCCGATGCAGATTTTAGTATGTTTGATGCCTTCGTTGCTCAAACAGGATTTCTGTGTTATGTGTTTCGGGTTACAGCCCGATGTAGTATGCTATCTAAGTGCCCATGTTAGTTGATGTGCTTATGTGATGCTATGTTCAGTAGTTCCGGACTTCAGTCCGATGCAGTTAGTTCCGGACTTCGGTCTGATGCAGTTAGTTCCGGAATTTGGTCCGATGCAGGAGACAAGGCCTCAGTAGTTCCAGATTTCGATCCGATGCAGAGGGCAAGGCCCTGGTTAGTTCCGGACTTTGGTCCGATGCAGTTTCCGGACTTCGGTCCGATGCAGTGGGCAAGGCCCAGTATGTGTTTATATGTATTGTATGGTATGTGGTAGTTTGGGGGAGCTCACTAAGCTTTGTGCTTACAGTTTCAGTTTTGGTTTCAGATACTTCCGCAAGCAAAGGGAACAGTTCGGGTTGATGGCATCGCACACACCACAGCTTCACCTGTCCTTGGAGTTGTTTTGGTTTTCATAGATGTGGTTGATACAGTCTAGATACAGTTTGCTCATAACACTTTACTTTTGTTTGTGAGATATTGACGTACGAGTTTTACCTTATGGTTTTATCATGGTGTTTTCAGTAATTATTAAACAAAAAATTTTGGGTCGTATTTTGGGATGTTTCATATATATATATATATATATATATATATATATATATATATATATATATATATATATATATATATATATATATATATATATATATATATATATATATATATATATACAGTTTAAGGAATTATGTTTTGTTGGAAAACACATGTGCATTCCTTTTCCATTTCCGTCGGTACGTTGGAGGCTTTTACGGCAAAAATAAATGATTGATTGAGAATGATTCCCATTCTCAACTCCTTTTTTCTCAATTGAACCCTCCTATATATATATATATATATATAATATATATATATATATATATATATATATATATATAGATCCGGAAACAATTTCTTTTTGGTAGAAAGATAAGAAAATTTTTTTGGACTTATTTTTTTGGCGAAAAAAACAAATGAATCACTAAATGAATCAATAATAACTAGATTCAGCAAAAAAATCCCGAAAAAACATTTCGACGATTCATTTTTATGATGATTGTGTTAATATTCACTAAAATTGTCATAAAAATGAATCATCTTAGTTTGAATCATCTAATGATTCGATTCATTTTTTGCTAAGAAAATATGCATATAAAAAGATTTATTACCTTCCTATCAAAAATTTCCTTCTTATTTTTTTTTCAGAGTTTCTTTCTTGTGAATAATCTTAGTTTTGAATCATCTAATGATTCGTTTCATTTTTTTTTCTAAGAAACTATACATATAAAAAATTTCTTACCTTCCTACCAAAAATGTCCTTCTTATTTGATATATATATATATATATATATATATATATATATATATATATATATATATGTGTGTGTGTGTGTGTGTGCGTGTGTGTGTGTGTGTGTATATATATATATATATATATATATATATATATATATATATATATATAGTGTTGACTTCATGTGAGACGGCCTAATTTTGTGACACCGTGAGACGCATTTTTTTATTTTTTAAAATTTTTTTTAGCTAATTCAAGTTCCAAAAATAATAT